TACTCCCCCTCTTCATGTTAGCCGGATCCCCTCCGCCGTCACGAGCAGGAATCACACTGTATTGATCGTAGCAGCATGGCCTCATTGGAAGATACGCAGGAATGCCTCAACGTCAGCCAAACGCACGGTCAAATGGCGCCCCTCTCCCTTGTCGTTGCGCCAAGTTGGGCAACCAAGGCAGCCACTAGCATCCCGTCATGATTTATCTGCGAATACCTCGAAGAGTTGTGGCGCCTGAAAACCTGACATCAACTTGCCTGCAAACGCCTCGAAGAATCACGATGTCAGGTGACCACTCCATCAGCCAAGGACCATTGGTGTCGGTATCCCATGTGTCTGCCCCTGATTGTCAGCGCAGTCGTTCCATCAAACCACCCACGAACCGTCGACATCAATGGGCCCCACATACGCCCCCGACTATCGGCATAGTCATATCGCTGAGTCAGCCTTCGACCGAGTATCTCGTCGACCGTTAGCCTCTGGGGGTATCTCTCTCAATTTTGTTTGAGGGGGTAACGAATCAGCGGCTGGTCATGGCGCCGGCCAACTATTACCATTGGTCAAGGACCATTGGCGTCAATACGTCGCGTATCTCCCACAGCAAGGTGGCCGCCATTCCTCTTACAGCTGGATGAGCACCATCTTCCACTTCAGAAGAAGCATAACGTCAACTGGTCGCCTCATTGACCGCCCAGCCTCCACCCGCTACCTTCCCGCATCATGTCATCGCACCTCCTTTGTCCTTCACCCCGCCACCGTCCTCACGGAGTCCCTGCAGTGCCTTCAGCAGTCGCTTCCATCGCCCCGCCAGCTTGTCGTCACCCGCTCAACAATGAGGAGTGGCATGATTTTCACTTTCCTCACTTCGGCAACTTTACGTCATAGCTGAGGCACAAAGGCCAAATTCTGTTGTCTACCATATGGACCAGATTCAAAGTTCAAGTGTAGAAATTAAACAATTTAACAATGCATTCAAGCAAGAAATCTACTAAGTTGGACTGAAGTTCAAACTTCAAAGTTCAAAATTCGAAATTAAAATCTCTAGTTTTAGAATGTGGAGCTCTTGCACAGCCAAAAACATGAACTCCACCCTTCCACACGTCAACGGTCCGCTCTCTCTCTCTCTCTCTCTCTCTCTCTCTCTCTCTCTCTCTCTCTCTCTCTCTCTCTCTCTCTCTCTCTC